TCCCAAGGGGGGTGGACTATGAGATCTCGCATCTGTTGGAGAGGAGAATGAAGCATTCCTTATAAGGGTGGAAACTTCTCTCTAACGAGAAACATTTTAAAAATTATAGGGGAAGCTCGAAAGGAAAAAGGAAAGCCCCAAGAAGACAATATCTGTTAGCGTGCGCTTGACCTGTTGTTACAATATTGTTGTAAGAATAATTTATTTGTATTTTTAAGATTTAATCTTGAAAACATTATGTTATCCATTCGCTGTGCCGTAGGTTGCTTTCATAATTTGTCTGATTCATAATTTTAAACACAACAGACAAACAAACAAAGGTGCTACAAATAATTGTAACTTTCACTAATTATAATACCATTCACTTGCTTAGGATGAAGTTTTCTTTATGTTTATTCTTTTTGAGCAGGCTGTTAGATGCCAATAGGTAATTTCTTTTTGGAAAATGGGCTGTTTTTCTTTTTGTTTTTTGAACATGACATGCCTTGAATTCTCTATATATACTGAAGACTTCACTACCCTGTTTCCATTTCCAATTGAACTTAGCTTAAAGTCCTCTAGTGCTAAAGTGAAATAATAATGCTTTTGGAGATGAAACAAAGAAGCAAGAATTTAACTTTTTCATTGGTTCTGTTTTTGGTGGTCTCTTTGCTGGTGTCTTCTTCTGTAGTTAGAGTGGAGGCAAGGAAGCAATATCACAGCAAGAAAAACAAGCATCAGAAGCAAAAGGGTGTTGACAATGGCAATGGTTCAGGTCCTGCACCATCTCCATTTCCTGATTACAATCAAACCCAGTCCACCATTTTTAATATCTTGTCTTTTGGAGCAAAGGGCAATGGAGTTTTTGATGATTCCAAGGTAAAAACTGTCCAAAACAACCTTAAAATGGTGACTGATGTCCTGTTTTGAACCTGTAAAAAAACCATCTTATGCAGGCACTTCTAGCAGCATGGGAAGCTGCATGCGAGATTACTGGAGCTACATTAGAGATACCATCACAGTACAAGTTTCTCATCAAACCCATAACTCTAGAAGGCCCTTGTATGCCTCAGCTTGTTCTTCAGGTTTGCCTTGTTTTCTTCTCCTTCAGGGATTTGGTATATTTGAGAATGTTTGAAAAAAAGACAAAAAGTATATTCTTTTGACTCGTCATGTCAATAAATTCGTGCTGCTTAGAGTTCCAAGGATAAGATATTTAATTGGAAGTGGCATTCCAAATCAGATTGATGGAGCTGTATTGGCGCCTACCAAAGTGAGTTCGTGGCCTAAATCCAGCTTGTTTCAATGGCTGAATTTTAAATGGCTTCATAACTTCACCATTCAAGGCTCTGGTACTGTGGATGGCATGGGCTTTAATTGGTGGGCTCGCTCCAGATTCGACAATAACAAGGTTGGTTCTCTTAATCTTCATTAAATTATGCTAATTACATTGAGAGATCGTGGTTTTAGCTAAACCATGTCCTGTTGTTTTTGTTTCTGCAGAAGAAAATGAAGAACACTCCAGATATGAAGCCTACTGTAAACTTTTCTTACTCTTTCTCTCTTCTTTTTGCTCATAATTACAGTTTTTAAAAGAATAGTTTGCTAATTAATGACAGGCATTAAGATTTTATTCAAGTTTCAATGTGACAGTTCGTGATATCACCATAATAAACAGTCCACAGTGCCATCTGAAGTTTGACAACTCCGGCACCGTCCAAGTTGACAATATCACCATTTCTTCGCCGGAGAACAGCCCCAACACCGACGGTATTCACCTGCAGAACACACAAGATGTCGAGATTCAACACTCGAACATTAGCTGTGGTATGAACAGAGCTAATTCACAGCCCATCTTTAATAATATTTTCATTGTTCTTTCTCATAAAACAATTTTTTACTCAAATTTGCATATTTTCTCTCTTTTATATTGGATTTATATTGGAAAATTATGAGGTTAAAACGCATATCTCCGATTCACCAATAAAGTATAACAACCTAAGCCCACCGCTAGTATTGTCCTTTTTGGACTTTTTCTTCCGGGCTTCCCTTCAAGGTTTTAAAACCTGTCCACTAGGGAGAAGTTTCTACACCCTTACAAGGAATGGTTCGTTCCCCTCTCCAACCAATGTGGGATCTCACAATCCACCCCCTTGGAAGCCCAGCGTCTTCGTTGGTACACCGCCCGATGTTTGGCTCTAATGCCATTTGTAACAACCTAAGCCTACCGCCCGTTGATATTTCCTCTTTAGGCTTTCCCTTCCGAATTTTCTCTCAAGGTTATAAATCGCGTCCACTAGAGAGAGGTTTTCCCACCCTTATTAGAAATGCTTCATTTCCGTCTCCCACCAATGTGGGATCTCATGTAAAGCTACCCAATTGAACCAACTTATTATAAGATTTGTTATTTTAACAGGAGATGACTGTGTTTCCATTCAGACTGGCTGCTCCAACATCCACATTCATCATATCAATTGTGGCCCTGGACATGGCATAAGGTAAATATAAACTCCTCATCAATTTTACTTTTTCACAAAGGTAATTCCTGTAGATAATATTACTTATGGCAGTGATTACAAATTAACCATCTTGCTCAACTTTCTTAAACATTATTATTGTCAGCACTAAAGATGATTATCTTGCCTATAATTACAGCTTGGGCGGACTTGGGAAAGATAGAACAGCTGCTTGTGTCTCCAATATTGTTGTCGAAAACATCTCAATTCAAAACACTCTTTCAGGAGTGAGAATCAAGACCTGGCAGGTAAAGAAAACAAAGGGGTTAAACTACTAATCTACTCCTTTAATTATGGTGGAACTATTATATGTTGTTTATGTTGAGATTGTTGGGAGAGGAGTCCCACGTCGGCTAATTAAGGGGTTAATTATGGACTAAGTAAGAAATACATCTTTGTTGGTATGAGACCGATTGGAAAAATCAAAAGCAAAGCCATGAGAGCTTATACTCAAAATAGACAATATCATACCATTGTGGAGAGTCGTTGTTCTTAACATGGTATCAAAGTTAGATTCTTAACTTAGCCATGTCCATAGTAAAGAATTGACAAGCTTTGAAAGTGTAGTCAAAAGTAACTTAAATGTCGAAAAAAGTACTTTGTTCGATGGCTCCAAAGGAGTTGTGGTTCCTAACAGTAAATTAAGCATGATTAATGAGGTTAGGAGTGTGATTTGTGATTGGGTTTGATGGAATATGAACAGGGAGGAGTTGGGTCAGTGAAGAACGTATCATTCTCCAAAATCCAAGTTTGTGATGTCAAGATACCCATTATGATAGACCAATACTACTGCGACAAGTACATATGCAATAACCAAACAGGAGCCGTTGCAATATCAGGCATAACATACAATCAAATCATAGGAAGTTACGCGGTGCAGCCTATTCACTTAGCCTGCAGCACCCAAATCCCTTGCATAGACGTTGATCTCATAGACATCCAGCTCAACCCATCTTCACAATCCACAGCCTTTCAAAGCTCCCTATGTTGGAATTCTTACGGTAAATCTCAGGCCCCTCTTCTTCCTTCTAGCATAGACTACTGCTTGAGAAGCGGCGGTGGCGGTGGCGGTGGCGGTGGCGCTGTTAGGAGAACCGCAAGGTCCCATGATTATGATTATATCTGCTACTAATGCACAAACCTCTCCATTTTCTCTCTGTTTCTGTTTTTCCTTTTCTCCGGCTTCCCTTCTGCAGATTTAGTTTTGGAAAATGTAGAGAGGTGATGATTGTAAAAGCATTTATGGTTGTGGGTTTTGGCGTTGATTTCATTTCTGAATCTATCAGTGTCTCGTTTCCCGATTAGTACAAACAAAGTGGCCCAAATTTCGCCCACTCATTTGCCAAAAAACGTCACTTTTTTACTTTATTGAGCAGGTTTTTGGAAGTTGTAATGAGTTGAAGTGGTGATTTATTCTTCTAAAATTGGTTGGTGGAGAAGAAAGGGCTAACTAAAAGAGAGTTTAATGGTGGTTACAGTGGAGTTGGGTTTTGCAGCTTGCTGGAACTATATAGTAAGGTTCAGCAGCTATACCCGGTTGAATTATTTGGTTCCACTCGTTATCAATGGAATCAGGGATACTTCCAGCAAGAAATATATTGAAGAGTTAGAGCTGGGTAGTCGAAAATCAAAGTTTATGATAAGCTTGGTCTAAAATTCTTGAAAAATTAACTTTTTTATGATTATATCGAGAATAATCCCAGTGGATTGGGTTGGAATTAGACATTTTTATATTTTTTTCTTGGGTTGGGTTGATTTGGATGGTGTGATTTGAAGATTTTGTTTTTAATAAAAATATAATGTTAATTTGTGAAGCATTTATTTATTTGTAGTCATTTAATTAAAACTTGCAACTAAATTTTAATATTATTGTAAAAAAAATATTTGTCAAATAATTAAAACCTTTTAGGTGTTTCTGTAGAATAAATAATAAAAAATTAAATAGGTAATTAAATAAAAATATATAGATATAATTATATAAAAGTAAATATGTAATTTTAAAATTCAATCCAATCTAACTTTACGGGAACACAAAAATTCAACCTGGCTTGAATAAATTTATAACTTTAACTTAAACGGTACATATTGGGTTGAGTTGTGTCTTATAACTTTTAGAATTTAGGAAAATAGATGACACAATATCTACTCGGGATCGAAGGTTCAATGAAAATATTAACAAATAGAATTGGGATCAAAGATTCAATATTTATTGATATCAAATTTAACTGATTACGAATATTAAGACATATTCCCTAACTACTATATTCTTCGAATATTAAATGATTATGAATATCATATATTTTATAACTAATTATTTTAGATAACTTATTTTTGAGTTCATCCCAATCTGAATTATTATAAATTAAAATAGAGATTTAGACGGAAGAAGGAAAAAAAAAACAAAGATTAAGTAGCATAAACGGCGTACGTAGGAATTGAGTCGTGGAAGTGGGCCTTGAGCCCAATAACAAAAAGGCCCAATTTTCAAGCCCAACATGGTTTTTGTGTTTCTCAGACGTGAGGTGAAGCCGCGGCGGCAGAGGCAGCATCAGCAGTGCCCTTACTAAGGCTTTTGCCTCTTTCAGTTCGGCTGTTTTGAGCAAACTTGAGGGCAGCCAAATGGTAGCCTTTGACCCTCTCCTCAGGGGTCCACTCCGACAAGTAATACTCTTCCTCGGAAGCAATCTTGGAGGAAGCTGGTCCGGTCAGCATGCCGCCCCATTGTGGGAAATATATTAACAGTATTGGAAGAGTGCACCCTATTATCATTACTCCCATCAGACTTATCCCCTTCTCTTTGCTGTATCTTGACCCTCTGAAGAATATCAGCTGAGTCAGTACCGAGCCCACGTTCCCCCCCGCTCCTGTCATCCCCGATATTACCCCCAACGACCTGTCGCCAAAGATTAAAGTGTAAGGGTGTTCAAAAAAATCGATCACCACAACAACCCAATTTAAATTATACAATTTTTTTGGTTGAATTATGAATTTATCCAAATGAAAAATTAATAGGTTAGTTCATGAATTATCCTAAAACTTATATTTAATTTTAAAATATACATTTATTTAATTTCATATTTATTATTTATTATCTAATAATTTTTAAAAATAATTACCATAAGTAATTGAATGGCAACCTTTCAATAAAATTTTGAAATTGAAAATAAGGACAGAGAATAATATTTTATTTTTATTAAAAAATAAAAAATTAAATAAATGAATCAACCCAATTCAACCTAAAAAATTTAGGATTGGATTGAGTAATTATTTAACAACAGTGATTTAATTTGAGTCTTAAAAAAATGTCTTTAACCCAATCCAACCAATCTCCGAACACTTTTATTAAAATGTTTGTCTACACGTCCAAAAGTGTTTATCTCTACGACCATATAAGGTTTAGCATCGTTGTCTAAGAATTAATCATATCTTTCTATTTTTCCATTTGTCCGTTGTCAAACATGGAAAGTATACATATACAAGCCATCTTCACAAATTAAAATAATATTTATACATTAATGTTTATAAATAAACATAGAAAAAATTTAGAAGCTAAAAGCATAACATCACATTTATTTTATTTCATATTCTTATTCTTAAAAATTTTATTACTTATTTATTTTCCTATTTACTTTCATATATATAAAATTTTAAGTTAAAAAAAAAAAAAAAAAAAAAAAAA